CACCGACAGACACACACACACACACATGCATCCCCCCCCCTACATCACATGACATCACATCTTACAGAGAGGGAGAGGGAGGCGAGGAGGGGGTTAGCGGCCAATTAGTCGTGCACACGGACGGTTGGTCGGAGTGATTGAATGAGTGGCTGAAATGGATGGAGGGATGGAGGGATGGCTGTTGTGGGGTGGGGTGGGGTGGGGTGAGTGAGTGTGGGTGGGTGAAGGGGAGACAGATAGTATGTAAAAGGGTACTTATAGCTATACAGGGAGAGGGAGCCAGGGAGGGGGGGAGACAGGAATCCAGAATGGATGGACGGCTGGCTGTGTGTATTGGCGTGTGTGTTGTGTGGATGGATGGATGGAGTGTCGCGAATGTCGGCTGACTGGCTGGCTGGCTGGCGGACTGTCCCGGGGTGGGGCACTCACTTTTTCTTTTTAACACACACACATACACATACACCTGTCTGTATACGGACGGCTGGCTGGCTGGCTGGGGGCTGGGGTAGTCGTGGAATGGAATGTATGGGTACTTATCTCTACAGACTGACTAGGTCAGACGCCACACCACCACACACACCACACCATCCCTACCCCTCCGCCCGCTATCTGTCTAGCTAGAAGAATGGTACGAACGCATGAACGTTTGTATGCCGCTGGCTGGCCGTGTGGATGGATGGATGGACGGCGGTCTGTCTCTTTTTCGGAGCAGTTAGTTTCGTTTTGGCCCACACAATTGCAGTGGCCATGAGGCGCCCGGGCCACCCCCTCCCCTCCCTCTCCCTCTCTCTGTGAGCACCTCTCTCTCACCACAGGACCCTCACAGGGAGCGGGCCAGAGGCGGGGGTGAGTGGCCGGGGTGCGTCATGACCAACACACACACTGTGGGCACAAAGATAGATTGGACAAAGTGCGGTGACTGACGGAAGGATGATGACTTTTCAAAAATAATTCTCCTCCGACGGACAGACGATTCAGCGCGGAATGCATCTAGATAATCCACCCGTTGAAAGCAAGCTACCTCGGGAAGGAAACGAGTCTCATCATTCAACGCAACATCCATCCAACAAGCGTGTGTAGTCTTTTCTGCTGTGTGGGCACCGTCGTGAGGTGTGGGAGGCGTGGAGGACCCCACCCCGTCACGGTTCGACGTAACGGCGACGGGTGCAATCCACCCCGCACCCACCGCACAGCCGGTGCAGCCACAGACCAAGACGACAACCAATCGACCATACGACACCGGAAGTCGAGAAACCAACCAAACCACCCCTTGCGTGTCTGATCTTCCCTTCCGTGGTGTGTGTGTGTGTATGGTTCCCTGCCCGTTTCCCCCGGCAGCGCGGACCTTAATCGTACCATTCTGGGCTCAGAATGATGCAATGAGGTTCCGGGCAGCCGATGCAGGCAGGCAAGGGAGCCTTCACACGCACGCACTCACGCAAACGCCAACAAGAGCCAGCACTTCCTGCCTGCGATAACAGAGAAGTTCAGGGGGCGGGGGGCGGATCGTCGGCAGGCATCCAGACACATGGATCGACACAGACAGACGGATCTGTAAGACCTCTAGCTATCTACCTGTACAGTGAGTGGTGTGACTGGCTGGCCGGCCTTCCTGGCTGCCATGCCAGGGCGATCAACCACAGCTAGCAAGCAGCTATCCATAGGCAGGCAGGCAGGCAGGCAGGCAGAGAGAGAGAGAGAGATGAGCAAGGGGACCGACCGATCAAAAACAGGAGGAAGAGGAGGAAGAGTAGATAGATAGAGTCAGGTAGATCCCCCGCCAGCCAGCCAGCCAGCCAGCCAGCCATGACACAAAAATATGTCAACACGCAGGAAGGCAGGAAGGCATCCAATGCATTCATGATATGATCATCCATCCATCTGGCTGAATGAATTGGAGCATGCACATGCGCATTCGGCGATGCATTATCGATAGGTGTGTTGTGTGTGTTCCC